AACAACAACAACAACAACAACAACAACAACAGGACAAAATAGAAATGTCCTGTAGGGTTTCCAAGACATTAATCTTTACAGAAACATACTGCAACGTCTTCTGCCCAAAACAGTAGCTGTTGCATTTGAATCACAGACCTTCAGTTTGGGGCTTAGAAATTTACTGTACCACCAGGGGTCTTTTGGGGCTGTAAATTACTTTAGAAACATGAATGAAGTGTTTTTTACATTTCAAGACAGTTTTTATTACCTATTACTTTTAGTTGCTTTTCCTGGCATATAGAAGGGAGTTCAATGCACATATAATAATGTTTCCTTTAAATGCTGTATTTTAGGTTTCCTTTCCTAAAGACTTTCTCTCCCTCTAAAATCCTTTACCATTATTTCCTAAGATAATACTGCTTTTGATCCTCTTACTGAGCTGCCTCAGCGTTCTCCATAAGGTGTGACTTTCCTCATTGCATTGAGTATTAAATCCAACATGTTTAACTACATTGCATTGAGTATTAAATCCAACATGTGACTGGAGAGTAGTAACAGAAATATGGCATCTTCTAAATCAACTGACAAAGTTTTCTAGTTTAGACAGAAATATAAATTATAGTTATTTTATTTTACAGATAGAGAAAAACAACACAAGCAATATAGTATAGTTGGTTAGAAATTATTTTTATATATTTAAGTGATAATTTACTCAAGTATATAAGCTCACTATCAAAAGAAAAAAAATAGTTTAGAAAGAAGCATTTTTGCTTCATTTTAAAGAGCTCCTACAAATTAGAAACGTGCTTTAGGTTCCTTTTTAATAAGTTTCTAAAATATAAGCATGCTTTGATGTCAGTAAAAATAAATATTTAATGTCTTTTCAGCAACTCAACTAAAGGAAACATGTTAAAAACATCTGGCAAATTTTACCTATTCCACAAATAGGCTAAGGAGTTATGTAAGAGAATAAAGGCATTAACTCACAGCATCACATTTTATCTGTACTGACCAATAATGAGCTCCATTCAGGCATTATAAACTATCAAACCATGGGTCTTATCTTATGGTTCCAGGCAAACAACTGGAGATACAGCAATACAAACGTGATATTGCAGAGTTGGCAGCTGTTAAAAACAGCTTCCAAAACTATGCTAGATGCTCATAGTAGATGTGCATAATCTGACTTCAAATTTACTTATTAGAGGCTAATAATTCCCACAGAAGCCTCAGCCTCTGTAACAACATTGTAGGGTAATAGTTTTACAAATTCATAAATATTAAATTAATATAGAAAAATTTTATGTAAAAAATTTAACAGGTATCCAGTTTGTTATAGGCCTCTTCAATGAAAGTTAACATGTTCTTCATGTGGGATGAATTATGAAGTGTATCCAAGTCCTTCAGAAGAGCATTCTGGTTTGGAATTAGTGTCAACATTTCTTCCTGTGGGTAAAACAGTATAATTTCTTTTTAACCTTTTACTCTGGGAAATGTTAAATTTATGTAATTTAAATAGAATAGTGTAATAAACCTCCTGTATTTAGTACTTAGTACCCAACTTCCATAATCAACTCATTGCCAGTTTTCTTTCAAATTTATCTTACTCTATTTTCCCCATGCATTCCAGCTCTTCTTAACCCTGGCTGATTACAGATAGGAAAATTTTAAATTACTTTTTGAGAAAACAGGAGCTCTGATGGTAGAGTAATTAAAGCATTTGGTTGCTAAGCAAAAGGTCAGTGGTTCAAACTCACCAGCTGCTGCATCACAGAAAGATGAGGCAGTTTGCTTCGGCAAACATTTACAGCCTTATAAGCCTTATGAGACAGTTCTATTCTGTCCTAAAAAGGTCGCTATGAGTCAGAATTGATTCGACGGCCATGGGTTTCAGAAAACATGAAGAATTTCTACCACTATAAACATTTATACTGTAAGATATTTGGGGGTCCTTTGAAAGAAACATTACCAGTGTAGAGTCTAGTATAAATATGACACAGTGCCATTTTATAAAATTAAAATTATAGTTATATGCTACGGTGAATGGCTTGATGTGGCCCTTCGAGCCACTGTCCTCCATTCTGTGATGTATTGTAAATCCTATTATCCATGCCTGTTTGGGGTGGTGTGGTAGTTAAGGTGGGGTGTCAACTTGGCTGGGCAGCTGGTAGTAGTTGTTCCCTATGACTGGCAATCGGCTCTGTGGTGGGATTTGCCTTGAGTAACTGAGCAGCTGCTGATTGTTAAAGCCATCCAGTTGGGTTACTGCTGTTGAAGCAACACAGGTGGGATATATCTTGAGTCCTGCCTTGCTGGAGGACATCACTCAAATCACCACCCTTAGCTTCCTTGAGGGTATACCTACGAATCTCCTGGGAAGGTTTGCCCTCCTCTTGCTTCAATTCTGTGTTTTGGCTCATCCTCATCTCACCCCTGGATTTGGGACAGCAGCCATCATCTGATCTGCTGATCGAGGTTCATCAAACCCCAAGAATTGGGAGGATCCTCCAGACCCACTCACGGACCTGGGACTTGCCAGTCTGCCAGCCTTCATCACTACTACGTGAGACGATCCCTTCGGTGTCTGTGAGTTCTGTGAGGTGTTACAGTGAAATACAGTACCCTACAACGGGGGAGATTACTGGGAGGAGGAGGATGAGTTGATGTCTGAAATGATGGAGTGGCATGGTAGTTTGGACATCTGGGACATCTTTAACCTCTGCCTCATGGCAACCAGTCTTATGCTGATCTTTCTAAGAGAAATTGTTCAAACATATGCCATTATTAGAAGCATAAGCAAAATCTACGCTCAGAAATGTATCCAATAATTATGACTACACAAATATGTAAAGATATATGCTTAAGGGTATACCTCACAGTATTATCTGTAATAGTAAAATTATTTACATACTAATTCACAAATTATATTATGGTATATCCATATAATGGAATGTTATGTCATTATTAACAAGAATGAGATACATCTACATGACTTGACAAGGAAACATGTTGAAACTATACTGTCAAAAGAGAGGAGTAATTTGCCAAATAGTTTATTTCATGGATTCCATTTGCTTCAAGAAATGAATAAGGATATATGTTTTCATGTATATATGTAATTTATAACTGGTGATATAGTCAGTACGGTCATTGAGGACTTACCTGAAGTGTGGGTGCTTTAAGACTTTTCTGAGAAAGTTCTGGAAGACCAAGTACCCCATTATTATCTATTTGAAGTATCTAAAGTACAAGAAGAAAGCCACAAATTATTTTAAAATGCTGATTTTTCTCATCTTATTATTGTCTTCGTAGAATTTGAGCATTAAAAATTATATCCAGATGTTGGCAATACAGTTTTTAACAATTACCTGCTTTACCTTCTCCTCCTCTTCTTCTACTTCAGTTGTCAGAATCTGAACTTTGTTCTTTAGGCTCTGAATATTCCCAGTCATTGACTCTGCAGTTTCAGTAATTTTATCTACTTCTGCCTGAGTCAGGGGGGAAAAAAAAAATCAATGTTTTAAATTAAACAGTTCTATCTCTTACACTTCACAAATTATACTATGGATATCCATATAATGGATATGATAGAATTTTGCAAGACCAATGACTTATACATTGCAAATACCCTTTTTCAACAACACAAATGGCGGCTATACACGTGCACTTCTCCAGAGTACACAGGATTTAGATTGACTACATCTGCAGCAAGAGGTGATGGAGAAGCTCAATATTTTTAGCCAAAACAAGGACAGAAACTGACTATGGAACAGACCATCAACTGCCCATATACAAGTTCAAGCTGAAGCTGAAAACTATTAAAACAAGTCCACAAGAGCCAAAATATGACCTTGATTATATCCCTCCTGAATTTAGAGACTATCTAAAAAATAGATTTGATGTCGAATACCAATGACTGAAAACCAGAGGAATTGTGTGATGACATCAAGAACATCATCCATGAAGAAAGCAAAAGGTCATTAAAAAGAAAGGAAAGGAAGAAAAGACCAAAATGGATGTCAGAAGAGACTCAAACTTGCCCTTGAATGGAGAATAGCTAAAACAACTGGAAGAATCAACAGGATAAATGAGCTGAACAGAAGATTTCAAAGACCAGCTCGAGAAGACAAAGTCAAGTATTATAACGAAATGTGCAAAGACCTCAAGTTAGAAAACCAAAAGGGAAGAACACATTGGGCATTTCTCAAGCTGAAGGAACTGAGGAAAAAAACTAAGCTTAGAACTGCAATATTGAAAGATTCCATGGGCAGTATGCTGAGTGATGTAGGAAACATCAAAACAAGATGGATGGAATACACAGAGTCATTATACCAATAAGACCTGGTCAAGAATAATCCATTTCAGGAGGTGTCATATGATAAAGAACCAATGGTACTGAGGGAAGAAATTGAAGCTGCACTAAAGGAATTGGCGATAAACAAGGTTCCAGGAATTGAAGGGATAACCATTGAGATGTGTCAACAAATGGATGCCAAGCTGAAGGCACTCACTCATCTATGCCAAAGATTTGGAAGACTGCTACCTGGCCAGCTGACTGGAAGAGATCCATATCTGTAACCATTCCAAAGAAAGGTGATTCCACAGCATGTGGAAATTACCAAACAATATCATTGATATCACACGCAAGTAAAATCTGACTGAAAATAATTCAAAAACGGTTGCAGCAGTATACTGACAAGGTAGTCTTGACAGTTAATATTATTCCTCATTACCTTCTTTAGGATATAATACAGTATAACGACCAAGAATCATCCTGAGAAGTCAGAATGACTAAGTCTGAATCACAACTTTAGGCCCATCAAACTAGAAATAGCAATATATCTCTTTCATATCTGTGAAATGAGGATAATCTAGTCCAGACTTCTGAGTTATTATGAGGACAAAGGGTATACTGTAGTGCTTAGAACACTGCCTAGAACATAGAAAGCTCTCAGTAGGGCAGCAGTAATACTACTGAATCACAGTGGAGACTGTGCTCTTCTAGCCAAGGTAATACCACACAGTTGGGAAAACTTGTATGCTTTGAAATTCTATAGTGTTTAGCAATGAGTTCCCATAATTTAACAATCAAAAATACTAAAGTAGTTCAGTTAAAGTAGCTGAAATCTAATGAAAAAAAAAAAAAAAAAACCCACAAAAGACTGCTATTTAATCAATAATACAGTACAAGTAATACCTTTAACTTTAGAGGGCCAAAGTTCAGGTAAAGTTTTTGCTTTGATTAAAAAATAATAATAAAAAATTTTGGTCCAAGATCTAGTATTTATCACTGGAATAGCAGGAATAATTAAAATGACTTTTTGGTCTCTTCGTCCCCTAACACTCTAATTATGGACTCTAAAATTTCATACCTGCAATAATGCCAGCCCTTCTTCATTAGCTCTGTACTGTGCCTTTTCCATTTTCAGTAGATTTGACACCTCATTTAAATTTTTCAGCTTCTTGGGAGGGACTTTCAGGGTTTCACACAATTGTAGCAATCTTAAGGAGTGAAAACATGATTATTTGTTTGGTTCTAAATACTATTAGTCATGGTATTTTTTTGTTTTGAAATAAATGTTCTCTTTTTTTTCCCTGCTCTCATAGACCTCAAGGCTGTAACACTCTTCTCTTAACAGTCGTTAAATAAGGAAGTAAGCCAGATTAAAAAAGGAAAAAATAAATAAAAGCCTTGACAAATCATATAATCTTTTAACTTATTAAGATTTATCTCAACTCAAGAGGCACTTAGGCTGCTTTATTACAAGAAAAATTTCTATTTTACATACTTAACTATTTATACACACATTAAAATCAAAATTCCCTTGTGTCTTCTAATTTTTTTTTTTTTAAATGATATTATAATACGTAAGTCTATCATTTACTGTGAATCATTGGGAAAGAGATGAAGAACTAGTCTAGAAGTCTCTGAGGTGGTATTTAACTATGGCTCAGGAGCCTGAATCTCAGTTGTTTTAGAGAATGTAACCAAGAAAAGGGAATTACTCCATCAGTTACTCTAACTGAATCATTTCAAAGAAACCTTGAAATAAATATGCCTATAGCTTCTGCAGGGAACTCTGGTAGCATAGTGGCTAAGGCACTTGACTGCTAACCAGAAGGCTGG